ATTTGGATTGGTCGGACCACAACTCAATTAGGCCTCATTTAAATACACATGGTGACCAACTTTTTTCATACATATGACTGTCATCACTGAAAAACATTAACTACTGTCTAACTGTGCTTACATTCATTGTTTGGTCTGCATGAATCTTCCGTGTGTGGGTCAATTTTCTTTCATCTATATAGAAAAATTCAGTGAAACACCTCTTACATGTTTTATACCATTTTGCCAGCCTCCCACTTAGCTATTTTGAACAGTGTGAAAAAATTATGGGTGACTAGTGGAAAGGTTCTGACTCTACTGCTATGCCTTTAATATTCACTTTTGACATCACCAGGCCAACATAAAATGGGAGGCATTACTTTCAGAGCAACACAAACTAAGAGATGAGCTGCTGCTGCTCTTTGCGGGTCCTTTTTCTATTTGTGGTGAATGGCTGAAATTTTCTACAGATGAAAAATGGAAAAGAAACAGAGGTAAAGCAGGTCTCTTTGAAGTCATTTCAGTGAGCAGACATTTCTTACAGCTGATAATTTACACATTTACTGTTTCTGCTTTCAACTTAGTTCCAGAAATACATAAAGTTCAGATAAACAAATACAAGTTTTATATATATATATATATATATATATATATATATATATATATGAGTGGCTGAAAAAAATGAATGAATGAAAGAAAGTGAAAATCTAAAACAAATAATTTGATATCAGAAAAGCACAGGGGAAATGTGTTATATATGAGGCCGTGACCTTGGTTATATACCATGTCAGTTTTTCTTTTCATGCAAAAATGGATATATATTGGAAAAGAAAATGTTTAAAAAAGATTTAAAGAAAAATGCCAAACATCAAAAGATTATCTATCTTTATACAAAATGGTTGCTACAATGTTGTTTCTTTAAACTTGGTAAATTCTTTTATTACTACTTCTGCTATTATTATTATTATTATTATTATTCCCCTCTGCCTTTTCCTTCTTCTTTATCCTCATCTTCTTCATTTTCTACTTCTCCATCCTATTCACCATCATCTTCTTCTTCCCATTATTATTATTCCCCTCTGCCTTTTCCTTCTTCTTTATCCTCATCTTTTTCATTTTCTACTTCTCCATCCTATTCACCATCATCTTCTTCCCATTATTATTATTATTATTATTCCCCTCTGCCTTTTCCTTCTTCTTTATCCTCATCTTCTTCATTTTCTACTTCTCTATCCTATTCACCATCATCTTCTTCTTCCCATTATTATTATTATTATTATTATTATTCCCCTCTGCCTTTTCCTTCTTCTTTATCCTCATCTTCTTCATTTTCTACTTCACCATCCTATTCGCCATCATCATCTTCCCATTATTATTATTGTTGTTGTTGTTGTTTTCTACTTCACCACCCTATTCCCAATAATTTTCATCTTTCTATTATTATTATTATTATTCACCTCTTCCTTTTCCTTCTTTTTTATAATAAACACAAATTTATATTTTGATAAGATTCGATAGTGGCAATCCCAAGAAGTTTCTCTTTTAATTAGTGTGGCATTCTTTAGATCAAAGATGTAGTTGAATTTATTTCTATGTTTAACAAATGCAGTTGATAAATTTTTATGTGTAAGTACCAATTTGCACACACAAAAAAAAAATTCTAAAATATCACTTACTCAATTTTGCTTATCAGACAATTATTGTATCACTTCATGTCCTCCATATCTTGCCTGACATTTCTGCTAATCTAATGAATATTTATAAGTGTTCTTAGACACAAAAATTTTGAAAAATCTATTACTTTTTTGCTCTTGTATATAAATACTTGTTTTGAAATAAAATCCTTGCATTTGCCTTGATAAAGTCCCTCAGATGACAAAGATCAATTTTCTTTTTGTCTTTTTACACACACACACACACGTTATTTTCTATTTATTATATTAATACAAAGTAATACATAAGATATCAATATATTACTTAATAATTATAGAAAACAGATAAAATAATAATAGTGAAAATGCTTTCTCTAAAAAGCAACAATAATAAGATGGAGAAAAACTAGTAATAAATTTCTATATTTAATGTATGGTCCATATTGATCATAAATAACTTTAAGACTTGTTATTCATTATATCAACCATAGTTCAGATGTGCAAATAGAGATTTCAGTACCCAAATATTAAGTAAGTTAAGCATTTTTTGTTGTAAAAATCATAATAATAAGAGAAAAATTATTCTTATAAATTTTTGCCCTATTCAATGTTACTCTTTCATTAGCTTTTATTTGTTTATTAACTTTATTTTGAGGAAATGTTTTTTTTCTGACAGGCACCAATCTCCTTGCCAGAATAAAAGCCACACTGAGAGAGCATCTTTGACAGAGTTTAATTCAAGTTGAGCTGATTTTCATCTAAGCACCTTCATTTGTGTTTTAAGCTAAACAGGTGGAAGTCGTAATTTTGAAAATGCCCAACACCGAGATCAAGTAACTGCTGATTCCCTCTGAGCAGGATATTGATCTGTATGGATCAATTCAAACCAGGTTATGGCCAGTCGGAATGCATGGAATACAAATGGATGGATTATCTGTTTGGAAAAATGATAGAATTTAAAAAGAAAAGGTGGAGATAATGGTGAACTGGCTTTTATTTTTATTTTTTTAATTTTAATCTGGGGAAATGATAAAAAAAAAAAAAACTTTCTCCCGCCTCTAATATAAAAAAACAGAAAATGACCAGTGAAAATTTTATAATAATCAAGAAGGGCCATTCTTGGTAATGGAATTGATTTTGTTGATAACTGTTCAGAAGGAAATAGCAAATAAATTACAAAAATAAAAATTAAAGAGGAAGTATAAGGTGAGATTTTGAAAAAAAAAAAAAAAAAAACTTTGAGAATTTGATTTTTATTTCCTTTCGTTTGAGTGTTTAGCAAATTTATTTTTCAAAATCAGCTATATTATTTTTATAGCTTTGAACTATTACAAAAATACAGACTTTGGTATATAAACCTTTATTTATATATATATATATATATATATAAAAACAGAAGTTGTCTGTCTGATACCTTTTCACTTGATCCATCCAACCGATTTTGACCAAACTTGGCACATATATTGGAAAATGTAAGAGATAGGTTCTTAGTGTAAAAAAACTGATAATTTTTTAAAAAATCGATAATCGATAAAGCCAATCAAATATTGATAAATTCAATTTTTTTCCTTCAATTTCCTTCAAACTCAATAAGTTACTTGCATCATGACGAGCTCAACAAGACTTCATTTTTATTTCTACATTACTGCATTTAGCAAAAAAACAACAACAAAAAAAATGGAAAATCAATTTCAACACACATTTTAAACAAAAAACTCCCCCAGTTTTCAAGCAATCTAATACAAACTTTACTCAATTGTAGCCAACAGTAAGTTGATTATTTAACAGTCATTTAACTTGATAATTGAGTCCACTAATTTAGTGAAAACACGTGTAAATAGCAAAAAATGGCAATTTATACTGGTTTCTTTCTTATTTTTCCTTGATCTTTCAACTAATTTTCATCAAAATTAACAAATGCTTTATAAATGTATCCTCTTTTACATCCCTGGTAGCACACTGACAAATTGAATTTCAAAAACTTCAAAATAATTGTGGTCTGAAGTGGATCTTCATGTTGCCTGTTTTACCTCTTCATGTCCTTGGTTAACTTTGATTGAACAAATACACACTACTTCTGTTATATCAGTAACTGCATTAATTCAAAATGTTTTTTAATGAAAGTACTTTAAAGTAATTGAAGACAATAGACTCTGTTATATCTAAACATGATGCTGTTCTTGCTCCATTCTAATTGAACACTTTTTTTGATTGACTAGCTGGGTATGATTTCTCTTTATCTGTGTTTCTGAGTGAGTATTTATTTTAAGTTACTATATAGTAACTTAAAAATAAAATACAAATACATATATACTGTATTTACATTTATTTACATTAAGGTGAACATTTAATGAGAAAGAGAAAAGAGAATTTAATGGGGATGAGGTGAGAGTATAAAAAGAAAGTTCGCCTAAAAAAATTTGATTCCTTTTTTTTAAAAGGAATCATAAAGTTATAATTCCATTTTTCTAAAAGGAATCATAAATTTATGATTCCTTTTTGCTAAAAAGGAATCATAAATTTTTTAGATTAACATTTTTTATTCTCTCACCCCATCCACATTAAATTCTCTCTCATTTTTTGTCTAACTTTTTACTCTATCAGAGTTATCTCCCTTACATTGACAATGCCAGTCAGAGTTACTTCCCTACAACTGGTGATGTCAACTGGTGCTATTGTTTCAAAGCTATGAAGGGCAAAGTGTAAAAACTTGATAGAAGAGTACAACAATAACAATGATTAAGATTATAGCATTAATAAATAATTAATTTGATAATGTCAGTTTCTTGAAACTACTTAAATATAGTGGTCCACTCTTAAAAAAAACAAAGGTGGTGGGAATAATAATTTTTGTACATTAACATTCTATAAAACTTTCTTAATTATTAAATTAATTTATTTTTTTAATCATTTTAGAAATGGGGGTTCTATTATAATATCAATACAGTGTAAAATAAATCCCTGACTTTTACAGATTTATTGAAGTAAGCAGTATAACACCATTGATATCTGAATATTTTTGTAATTTTCCCAAATTTTTAACCTTTTTTTTTTAAATATTTTTGTTTTTATTTTTAATATTTAAAAAAAAAGATTTAACTTTTTCCTGTATGGATTTTTTTTTTTTCAGAAGCACATGCACAAATATTTGAAATTTATTCATCATTTAAGATAAATAATTATTAACAGATACTGCACTGATATTATAAATATGACCTCCCCCCCCCCCACACCAACTTCTAAATCAATAAAAAATCTTTTTTTTTTTTAATTCTGATAAAAGTTGCAACCTAAGGAAAGACTAAAGTATGTAAAATATTTCTAAATTCCCTCCACTCCCTCCTCTCTCCCTCCTCCCTCTCTCTCAAGGATTACTCTCCTCCCTCTCTCTCTCCTCCCTCTCTCTCTCCCTCCTCTCTCTCTCCCCTCCCTCTCTCTCCCTCCCCTCTCTCTCCTCCCTCTCCCTCCCCTCCTCTCTCCCTCCCTCTCTCTCCCTCCCTCTCTCCCCTCCTCTCTCCCTCCTCTCTCCCTCCCTCTCCTCTCCTCTCTCCCTCCCTCCCCTCTCTCTCCTCTCTCTCTCCCTCCCTCTCTCCTCTCTCTCTCCCTCCCCTCTCTCTCCTCTCTCTCTCCCTCTCTCTCTCCCTCCCTCTCTCTCTTTTTTTTTTTAAGTTGACCACTTTATAAGGAATGTTTTGTGAAAATTGGCAACTAAATCTCACCATTTACTGTTCAACAAGCTAGATGTAACTGTAAGTCCTATTCTAATAGATTATTTTCTTGCACTTCCAGCCTCTGGAAATCTCTTCTTGCTTCCCTGCCACCAACAATCTTCAAAAATATAAATGTAACGTCAATCACCATCTTCAGTCTTCTTGAAACATGATCTTTCATTGTCTTTTCTCTTCACTAAAGTTCTTGTTCTATTCCCCTCCCAATAACCCACTGTCGTAGTGGTATTATTGCCTTGCTTGGAGTGAAATGATTAAAAAAGTTTATGGCCATGTCACATTGAAAAATCAGTTCTCATATGATCACCAAAGTTAAGCAATGTCGAGCCTGTTCAGTACCTAGATGGGTAACAACTTAAAAATACCAGATGCTGTAATGTGTGGGTGGTGTTGTTTGAGTAGGGAGAGTTCCCTCCTTATATTCTCCTTACTCTCCTTTCTGGAAGCACTGATGCTAGCCACCTGCTCCCTGTTGTGAATCATGCAAGGAACAGATAAAACCACCATCTACCATTTATTTGAGTCTGCTGCTCAGCTTACAACAAGGTCGATTTACGCAAAACGTTAGTAATTTTCTTTCTACTAGCAGCAGTTATTTCCGTACATGCATATCAATTTATCCCATTTTTGGACAAATCTTCCCATAAGATGATCAAATTTAAAAAAAAAAATTAAAAAAAATATAAAGGGGAATTTTTTTCTCCATCAAAAGATAGTTTCACTGAGGCTTAATTTCACTTGGGTTTCATTGACATTCAAAGCACCAAATATATTTTCCCAGCAAGAGTTAACCTTTAGGGGATCAATTTGCTGGTGTTGCATTTCTTACTTTGGCAATGACAATTCAATACAAACTCATTGCCAAAGTTTCATCATTATTATTATCCACCTATGCCTTTTTCTTCTTCTTTATCCTCATCTTCTTCATTTTCTACTTCTCCATCCTATTCACCATCATCTTCTTCTTCCCATTATTATTATTATTATTATTATTATTATTCACCTCTGCCTTTTCCTTCTTCTTTATCCTCATCTTCTTCATTTTCTACTTCTCTATCCTATTCACCATCATCTTCTTCTTCCCATTATTATTATTATTATTATTCACCTCTGCCTTTTCCTTCTTCTTTATCCTCATCTTCTTCATTTTCTACATCATAATCACTATCATCTTCTCCTTCCCATTTTTTTTATTATTCACCCCTGCCTTTTTCCCCTTCTTTATCTTCATCTTCATTTTCTTTTTCTCCATCCTGTTCATCACCATCATCTTCTTCTTCCCTTTATTATTATTATTATTCACCACCACTCGTTTTCCTTCTTCTTCATTCTCATCTTCTTCATTTTCATTTCCATCCTATTCAATATCGTCTTCTTTCGATTATTATTATTATTATTCACCTCTGCCTTTTCCTTCTTCTTTATCTTCATTTTTATTTTCTACTTCTCCATCCTATTCACCATCATCTTCTTCTTCCCATTATTATTATTATTATTATTATTATTCACCTCTGCCTTTTCCTTCTTCTTTATCCTCATCTTCTTCATTTTCTACTTCTCTATCCTATTCACCATCATCTTCTTCTTCCCATTATTATTATTATTATTATTCCCCTCTGCCTTTTCCTCCTTCTTTATCCTCATCTTCTTCATTTTCTACATCATAATCACTATCATCTTCTCCATTTTTTTTTTTTTTTATTCACCCCTGCCTTTTTCCCTTTCTTTATCTTCATCTTCATTTTCTTTTTCTCCATCCTGTTCATCACCATCATCTTCTTCTTCCCTTTATTATTATTATTATTCACCACCACTCGTTTTCCTTCTTCTTCATTCTCATCTTCTTCATTTTCATTTCCATCCTATTCAATATCGTCTTCTTTCGATTATTATTATTATTATTCACCTCTGCCTTTTCCTTCTTCTTTATCTTCATTTTTATTTTCTACTTCTCCATCCTATTCACCATCATCTTCTTCTTCCCATTATTATTATTATTATTATTATTATTCACCTCTTCCTTTTCCTTCTTCTTTATCCTCATCTTCTTCATTTTCTACTTCTCTATCCTATTCACCATCATCTTCTTCTTCCCATTATTATTATTATTATTATAATTATTATTATTATTATTATTCCCCTCTGCCTTTTCCTTCTTCTTTATCCTCATCTTCTTCATTTTCTACATCATAATCACTATCATCTTCTCCTTCCCATTTTTTTTATTATTCACCCTGCCTTTTTTTCCCCTTCTTTATCTTCATCTTCATTTTTTTTTTTTCTCCATCCTGTTCATCACCATCATCTTCTTCTTCCCTTTTATTATTATTATTATTATTCACCACCACTCGTTTTCCTTCTTCTTCATTCTCATCTTCTTCATTTTCATTTCCATCCTATTCAATATCGTCTTCTTTCGATTATTATTATTATTATTCACCTCTGTCTTTTCCTTCTTCTTTATCTTCATTTTTATCTTCATTTTTATTTTCTACTTCTCCATCCTATTCACAATCATCTTCTTCTTCCCATTATTATTATTATTATTATTATTCCCCTCTGCCTTTTTCTTCTTCTTTATCCTCATTTTCTTCATTTTCTACTTCTCCATCCTATTCACATTATCATCATCATTATTATTATCATTATTATTATCTTTTGCTTTTTGTTAAGTACAATCTCTCACGGGTTCCTTATCTGAGACCTGGGGTAAGGCAAGGTAGTAAATATTTGTGTTATATTTGCACAAATTCTGACGTTAAGTGATACTTAACATGTACAGTGTTTATATTTTCTTTACATTGTTAATATTCTGCTGAGTAAATGTGCAGAGTTCCACACAGTGCAATTCTTTGAATCTCTTATAAACAAGAGATACCAGAGATTTTCTTAATGTTCTTTTCTCTATCTTTGTTGATCTTTCTCAGGCCTCCAATTATTATAGTTAATCTCAACACTAGTTTTAAGGGCAATATTTTTCAAATTTCACTTTCAAGATTGTTATAGTGACTTATTTTACCATTCTTTTAACAGATATTTTTATCTAATATCACTGGCATATCTTGCAGAAGGCATTTTTTTTGTTTGTTTCTATTCTTTCATCACTGTCTGCTATACTAGCTTTCATATGTCTGTCAGTATGAATAATAAAGTTCTGAGGAATTTGGGACCCCATTGCTTTCTATGTTTGAATTGATGTTCATACAACTATTTGGCATATGGCACACTGGAATACTGACATATCTTCCAATGAATATACTGTTCAATCTCATGTGAAATTTTGTATTCCTTTAGTGTCAAAATTTGTCAGCCAGACATTTATAGTCTCAACATGTTCATGATGTAATCTTTATATTGGGTTAGTACCCATTTTTTATGTTTCTCTGGTAATTCCTAGTAAATAGGCTTATGCAGCCATTATAAATGCCTCTATTTCTGCTTTTAGCTCCACTCTCTTCAGGTTCAGGTTTATTGACATCTACATGTAAGTTTTTTGTTTGTTTTTTTCTTTCAAGTTTCTTTCAATTTATTTAACCATTATGCCTTAGCAACCTTTTTAACAATTTTAACAGCCTTTGTTGGTTGTGCATTTTTATTTATTTCCTTGGCAGTAATGTCAAGTTCCTTTCAGGTATTTAATGTTCCAATTATAAGTGTAATAAGTTTTTACATTCCTCATGACTGTCAACTAGTTGTATCATCCAGTCAGATGTGGTTATTTAGATGATGATGATATTTCTTCTTTTTAATATTAGCATCAAGAAGCTGTTACATCCATAGTCGGCCTTGACAGGAATGCAGTTAATCAAACAGAATTGTTAAATTCTACAAAGTTAATTTGCTAAAGATTAGGAAACAAAAAATAAACAGGAATTGTGGTTGTTGGTTTCCTGGGCCACAGAATAACCTCACCAATTTTGTGATAAAAAAAAAATGCTGGTAGCTATTGCATAAAAATAAATAAATAAATAAAAGAAGTGTAATTGTTATTTTTTTTTTTATTTAGATTATGCAACCAGTAACAGAACTTCTTTTCCTCTTTCAAGGTTTTTTACACTAAATAATTATCCAAAAACATTTCATCAAAAGACTTTTTTTAATACTCCCCCTATCTGCTACCAAAAATAAAATGTGATGAAATTTGTTATTAAAGCTAAGAACTCCAGCTCAAAATAATCTTGTCCTTTTTTCTTTTATTTAATTTTGATTCCATTTTAGCTATCTCCCTTTCCTTTGCTTTTACCGGCAGTTTCTTTTTAAACATTTGGTTCCATTTTCTTCCTGTGTTTTGTTCATAACCTAAACACTTTTCTTCTTGTTTTTATCTTGTCATTCATTCGTATTATTATTTTCATTCTCTTTTTCTTTTCCATTTTCTTGTCCCTCTTTCTCTTGTGTTTCTTTATTCTTCTTTCTCTTGTGTTTCTTTATTCTTCTTTCTCTTGTGTTTCTTTATTCTTCTTTCTCTTGTGTTTCTTTATTCTTCTTTCTCTTGTGTTTCTTTATTCTTCTTTCTCTTGTGTTTCTTTATTCTTCTTTCTCTTGTGTTTCTTTATTCTTCTTTCTCTTGTGTTTCTTTATTCTTCTTTCTCTTGTGTTTCTTTATTCTTCTTTCTCTATCATTCTTCATCTTATTATTCATTCATATTGTTACTCCTATCTTGTTATTTTTTCTACTATCTCTTGTCCACATTGATTCTTTCATCTCTCTCTCTCTCTCATGACTTCTTGCTTTTTCCATCTCTCTCTCTCTCTCATGTCTTCTTGCTTTTTCCATCTCTCTCTCTCTCATGAATTCTTGCTTTTTCCATCTCTCTCTCTCTCTCATGACTTCTTGCTTTTTCCATCTCTCTCTCTCTCTCATGACTTCTTGCTTTTTCCATCTCTCTCTCTCTCTCATGACTTCTTGCTTTTTCCATCTCTCTCTCTCTCTCATGTCTTCTTGCTTTTTCCATCTCTCTCTCTCTCTCTCATGTCTTCTTGCTTTTTCCATCTCTCTCTCTCTCTCTCATGTCTTCTTGCTTTTTCCATCTCTCTCTCTCTCTCATGTCTTCTTGCTTTTCCATCTCTCTCTCTCTCATGTCTTCTTGCTTTTTCCATCTCTCTCTCTCTCTCTCATGTCTTCTTTGCTTTTTCCATCTCCCTCTCTCTCTCATGACTTCTTGCTTTTTCCATCTCTCTCTCTCTCTCATGACTTCTTGCTTTTTCCATCTCTCTCTCTCTCTCTCTTTTTTCCATGTCTTCTTGCTTTTTCCATCTCTCTCTCTCTCTCTCTGACTTTTTTTCTTTTTCCATCTCTCTCTCTCATGACTTCTTGCTTTTTTCCATCTCTCTCTCTCATGTCTTCTTGCTTTTTCCATCTCTCTCTCTCTCTGTCTTCTTGCTTTTCCATCTCTCTCTCTCTCTCATGACTTCTTGCTTTTTCCATCTCTCTCTCTCTCTCATGTCTTCTTGCTTTTTCCATCTCTCTCTCTCTCATGAATTCTTTGCTTTTCCATCTCTCTCTCTCTCTCATGTCTTCTTGATTTTTCCATCTCTCTCTCTCTCTCTCTCATGAATTCTTGCTTTTTCCATCTCTCTCTCTCTCTCATGACTTCTTGCTTTTTCCATCTCTCTCTCTCTCATGTCTTCTTGCTTTTTCCTCTCTCTCTCTCTCATGACTTCTTGCTTTTTCCATCTCTCTCTCTCATGACTTCTTGCTTTTTTCCATCTCTCTCTCTCATGTCTTCTTGCTTTTTCCATCTCTCTCTCTCTCATGTCTTCTTGCTTTTCCATCTCTCTCTCTCTCTCATGACTTCTTGCTTTTTTCCATCTCTCTCTCTCTCATGTCTTCTTGCTTTTTCCATCTCTCTCTCTCTCATGAATTCTTGCTTTTTCCATCTCTCTCTCTCTCTCTCATGTCTTCTTGCTTTTCCATCTCTCTCTCTCTCTCATGACTTCTTGCTTTTCCATCTCTCTCTCTCTCTCATGACTTCTTGCTTTTCCATCTCTCTCTCTCTCTCTCTCTCATGACTTCTTGCTTTTCCATCTCTCTCTCTCTCTCATGTCTTCATGCTTTTTCCATCTCTCTCTCTCTCTCATGTCTTCTTGCTTTTTCCATCTCTCTCTCTCTCTCATGACTTCTTGCTTTTTCCATCTCTCTCTCTCTCATGTCTTTTTGCTTTTTCCATCTCTCTCTCTCTCTCATGAATTCTTGCTTTTTCCATCTCTCTCTCTCTCTCATGACTTCTTGCTTTTTCCATCTCTCTCTCTCTCTCATGTCTTCTTGCTTTTTCCATCTCTCTCTCTCTCTCATGACTTCTTGCTTTTTCCATCTCTCTCTCTCTCATGACTTCTTGCTTTTTCCATCTCTCTCTCTCTCTCATGACTTCTTGCTTTTTCCATCTCTCTCTCTCTCTCCATGACTTCTTGCTTTTTCCATCTCTCTCTCTCTCTCATGACTTCTTGCTTTTCCATCTCTCTCTCTCTCTCATGTCTTCTTGCTTTTTTTATCTCTCTCTCTCTCTCATGACTTCTTGCTTTTTCCATCTCTCTCTCTCTCATGTCTTCTTGCTTTTTCCATCTCTCTCTCTCTCTCATGTCTTCTTGCTTTTCCATCTCTCTCTCTCATGTCTTCTTGCTTTTTCCATCTCTCTCTCTCTCTCATGTCTTCTTGCTTTTTCCATCTCTCTCTCTCTCTCATGTCTTCTTGCTTTTTCCATCTCTCTCTCTCATGTCTTCTTGCTTTTTCCATCTCTCTCTCTCATGTCTTCTTGCTTTTTCCATCTCTCTCTCTCTCTCTCATGAATTCTTGCTTTTTCCATCTCTCTCTCTCTCTCATGTATTCTTGCTTTTCCATCTCTCTCTCTCTCTCATATCTTCTTGCTTTTCCATCTCTCTCTCTCATGACTTCTTTGCTTTTTCCATCTCTCTCTCTCTCATGACTTCTTGCTTTTTCCATCTCTCTCTCTCTCTCTCATGTCTTCTTGCTTTTTCCATCTCTCTCTCTCTCTCATGTCTTCTTGCTTTTTCCATCTCTCTCTCTCTCTCTCATGACTTCTTGCTTTTTCCATCTCTCTCTCTCTCATGACTTCTTGCTTTTTCCATCTCTCTCTCTCTCTCATGTCTTCTTGCTTTTCCATCTCTCTCTCTCTCTCTCTCTCTCTGAATTCTTGCTTTTCCATCTCTCTCTCTCTCTCATGACTTCTTGCTTTTTCCATCTCTCTCTCTCTCTCATGTCTTCTTGCTTTTTCCATCTCTCTCTCATGACTTCTTGCTTTTCCATCTCTCTCTCTCATGACTTCTTGCTTTTCCCATCTCTCTCTCTCTCATGTCTTCTTGCTTTTCCATCTCTCTCTCTCTCTCTCTCATGAATTCTTGCTTTTCCATCTCTCTCTCTCTCTCATGTCTTCTTGCTTTTTCCATCTCTCTCTCTCTCTCATGTCTTCTTGCTTTTTCCATCTCTCTCTCTCTCTCATGTCTTCTTGCTTTTTCCATCTCTCTCTCTCTCTCATGTCTTCTTGCTTTTTCCATCTCTCTCTCTCTCTCTCTGACTTCTTGCTTTTTTCCATCTCTCTCTCTCTCTCATGACTTCTTGCTTTTTCCATCTCTCTCTCTCTCTCTCATCTTCTTGCTTTTCCATCTCTCTCTCTCTCTCATGTCTTCTTGCTTTTTCCATCTCTCTCTCTCTCTCTCTCATGTCTTCTTGCTTTTCCATCTCTCTCTCTCTCTCATGTCTTCTTGCTTTTCCATCTCTCTCTCTCTCTCTCATGTCTTCTTGCTTTTCCATCTCTCTCTCTCTCTTGTCTTCTTGCTTTTCCATCTCTCTCTCTCTCTCATGACTTCTTGCTTTTCCATCTCTCTCTCTCTCTGTCTTCTTGCTTTTTTCCATCTCTCTCTCTCTCTCATGTCTTCTTGCTTTTCCATCTCTCTCTCTCTCCTGTCTTCTTGCTTTTCCATCTCTCTCTCTCTCTCTCATGTCTTCTTGCTTTTCCATCTCTCTCTCTCTCTCATGTCTTCTTGCTTTTTCCATCTCTCTCTCATGTCTTCTTGCTTTTCCATCTCTCTCTCTCATGTCTTGCTTTTTCCATCTCTCTCTCTCATGACTTCTTGCTTTTTCCATCTCTCTCTCTCTCTCATGTCTTCTTGCTTTTTCCATCTCTCTCTCTCTCTCTCATGAATTCTTGCTTTTTCCATCTCTCTCTCTCTCTCATGTCTTCTTGCTTTTTCCATCTCTCTCTCTCTCTCATGTCTTCTTGCTTTTTCCATCTCTCTCTCTCTCTCATATCTTCTTGCTTTTTCCATCTCTCTCTCTCTCATCTTCTTGCTTTTTCCATCTCTCTCTCTCTCTCTGACTTCTTGCTTTTTCCATCTCTCTCTCTCTCTCTCCTTAATTCTTGCTTTTCCATCTCTCTCTCTCTCTCATGTCTTCTTGCTTTTTCCATCTCTCTCTCTCTCTCTCATGTCTTCTTGCTTTTTTCCATCTCTCTCTCTCTCTCTCATGTCTTCTTTTTTCCTTTTTTCCATCTCTCTCTCTCTCTCATGTCTTCTTGCTTTTTTCCATCTCTCTCTCTCTCTCATGTCTTCTTTTGCTTTTCCATCTCTCTCTCTCTCTCATGTCTTCTTGCTTTTTCCATCTCTCTCTCTCTCTCATGTCTTCTTGCTTTTCCATCTCTCTCTCTCTCATGTCTTCTTGCTTTTTCCATCTCTCTCTCTCTCTCATGTCTTCTTGCTTTTTCCATCTCTCTCTCTCTCTCTCATGACTCTTGCTTTTTCCATCTCTCTCTCTCTCTCATGACTTCTTGCTTTTTCCATCTCTCTCTCTCATCTTCTTGCTTTTCCATCTCTCTCTCTCTCTCTCATGTCTTCTTGCTTTTTCCATCTCTCTCTCTCTCTCTGAATTCTTGCTTTTTCCATCTCTCTCTCTCTCTCATTCTTGCTTTTCCATCTCTCTCTCTCTCTCATGTCTTCTTGCTTTTTCCATCTCTCTCTCTCTCTCATGACTTCTTGCTTTTTCCATCTCTCTCTCTCTCTCATGACTTCTTGCTTTTTCCATCTCTCTCTCTCTCTCATGACTTCTTGCTTTTTCCATCTCTCTCTCTCATGACTTCTTGCTTTTCCATCTCTCTCTCTCTCTCTCATGTCTTCTTGCTTTTTCCATCTCTCTCTCTCTCTCTCTCTCATGAATTCTTGCTTTTCCATCTCTCTCTCTCTCTCTCATGTCTTTGCTTTTTTCCATCTCTCTCTCTCTCTCATGTCTTCTTGCTTTTTCCATCTCTCTCTCTCTCTCATGTCTTCTTGCTTTTTCCATCTCTCTCTCTCTCATGTCTTCTTGCTTTTTCCATCTCTCTCTCTCTCTCATGACTTCTTGCTTTTTCCATCTCTCTCTCTCTCTCATGACTTCTTGCTTTTTCCATCTCTCTCTCTCTCATGTCTTCTTTGCTTTTTTCCATCTCTCTCTCTCTCTCATGACTTCTTGCTTTTTCCATCTCTCTCTCTCTCATGACTTCTTGCTTTTCCATCTCTCTCTCATGTCTTCTTGCTTTTTCCATCTCTCTCTCTCTCTCATGTCTTCTTGCTTTTTCCATCTCTCTCTCTCTCTCATGACTTCTTGCTTTTTCCATCTCTCTCTCTCATGTCCTCTTGTTTCTACCTTCTCTCTCTCATGTCCTCTTGTTTCTACCTTCTCTCTCTCATGTCCTCTTGTTTCTACCTTCTCTCTCTCATGTCCTCTTGTTTCTACCTTCTCTCTCTCATGTCATCTTGTTTCTACCTTCTCTCTCTCATGTCATCTTTTCTCTTTCCCACCTTTCTCTCTTTCTATTGTCATCTTTTCTCTTTCCCACCTTTCTCTCTTTCTATTGTCATCTTTTCTCTTTCCCACCTTTCTCTCTTTCTATTGTCATCTTTTCTCTTTCCCACCTTTCTCTCTTTCTATTGTCATCTTTTCTCTTTCCCACCTTTCTCTCTTTCTATTGTCATCTTTTCTCTTTCCCACCTTTCTCTCTTTCTATTGTCATCTTTTCTCTTTCCCTCTTTATCTTTTTAGGGTTGTCAATCTTATTCACTTACTTCCTTTCTGCATAATTTCTTCTTTTTTCATTATCTTCTTACTTAATCTCTTTTTGCATTCCTCTTCTGCTTATTTTGGGCTAATAAAAAAATCTGATTTCATTCCTACCATCCCCCCACACACACAACCCACAAAACCAACAGAGTTCAAAAGGAAGTGATTACATTGATAAAGAAAATGCCTGTAAGAAAATCCAATATTGGTAAAACAGGCACATCAAATATTTCTTCTATTTTAACTCCATTTTTTTCTCTTACTCTCAAATTAGACCTTAAGGTGGACAGTTTAGTTCATTTGAGGTTGTCTATTCAATTCAGAGGACTTGAATCTCCAAAAGTGAACAATAAAATAGCCCAGCTCACCTGTGAAGGTGACATGGATGTGGGGTGAGAAAAAAAACAGAAAAATGACAAATTTAATTTATCCCAGGCTTATATATCAATGCAAAAGGTCAGGGAGTTTGCAAATGTTCCTTTTCTTTTTTCATCATCATCATATTAGTACATATCAATTACCATAAAAGTACATATGAAATATGTCTTTGCTGCTTGTTGCTCTTGTATCTTCCCTCTTATCTATCTATATATATATATATATATATATATATATATATATATATATACACACAGTCTACATATATATGAATAAATACATAAAAGATTAATGGTCAGAGTTGAATCAGACCATGAAACAGTAGTATTAAAAGTGCTCAATACATGTGTAAAAAAAAAATCAAAGTAAAAATAACCTGTAGAGCTTTTAACTTTAAAAATCAGGTCAGTTGGAGGTAGCAGATTCAACTGACCTCCTGATTTTTAAAGTATATATGCATATGGATATATTTAAAATATAGAAATATATATATATATATGCTAATCCGTGTGTGTGTGTATGTATGTGTATATATATATATATATATATAGGTCTGATGAATTGGATCATGATTACGATTCCAATGTAATAAATTATAACCATGGAATATTAGTATTTGAACCTTTTATATTATATTCTTACTCTGTCCTGGACATTGAGTTATATCTGGATTCTATCCTTTTGGGAATTTATATATATTTTTATTTATATATATAAATAAAACATTTCCTCACAAGCAAGGCAACAAAGTCACTAAGACTGAGTGTGAAAAAATATAAGAAAACATTATTTAGGTGTGAGAACAGTAAAAGAACATAACTTAAGGAGATAGAAGATAAGAATTGACATTGCATTTAGCTTTTTGACTGGAAAGCAAGAAGCTCAAAAAGAATACCACAAGTGAGAAATACAAAAAAAAAAAACTATTAGCATACAACTTATGCTCACATCTAGTAAAAACTGTAAAATGATGTGTTCTTGCCATCAATCTAGTACCGCAATATATATATATATATATGTGTGTGTGTGTGTGTGTGTGTGTGTGTGTGTGTATAATTTCTCTCTATATATTATATATGTGCAATATTTATTGGAAAGTGTTCAATATCAGTGATAGAGCTAACATATCTAGTTGTATGGACATGATTTGGTAACCCTGGGTTACAAAGTCATATCCATCATACAACTGAGTGAGTCTGTGTGTGTGTGTGTATATATATATATATATATCCTTCACCAGTAGCAAAACTCAGTTTCATGCACAGTGCAATCTTTCGGTGCTGAGTATAGACGTTATGTTAATTTAAATTTTAATATCTAGATACTGCTATGTTGATGCAGTCATTTATTATATGGGAATCACAGTTTATTTTAAAAAATATATGTGGCATCTAAAGTAAACAGGACTTTTATTTTTATTTATATTTATATATATATATATATATAAACATTATTTTAGAAGTGTGAATATTAATTTTTATATTAAGCATAATTGGAGATTACTGGGTCTTTTTTTTTTAAAAAAAAAAGAAAACATAATTTACATTAAAAATTAATCTGGATCAAAGTATTACTGCAGATAATTATTATTATGCCTACATGTAACCAATTTATTTCTCTTGTTTAATAAGCTAGAGTTATTTAAGTGTTTTAAAATAACTAATTTTCAACAAGGCATAAATTACATCTATTGCATTTCCTATTGTAAGACCTGGCTTTAGCTATAATATCCCACATAATAATGCATTTATTACCACCATTCTTTAATTGCCAGAAATATTCTGAGAGTGTAGTGCTGCTTATGTATTTTATATTGACTAATGTCATTTGATGATGGTAAAAACAAAATTTCCAAGGATTTTGAGTGGAAACGAAATAAAATTTGATATCATTACTGGAATGTATGCTAGTTTTGTATATGATATTATTAGTCATACATTGGCTATTTAAGGGACAGATCAGTAACATTATTTTTCTTGAAAACCTTTTTTAGTGCTAGTGAATGATTAAAGTGCTTATGAATTAAATTTAGGAAAATTCTTTTGATATTCATTTAAACATTATGATTAAAAGGTGAATTAAACCATATTATTGTGTATATATGGTGCTTCTGTTTATTTTTAACTTTTTTTGTTTTTCTAAATACTCTAAATTTACTTTATGGTTGCTAAGTTCTAAAGCTTTTATATATTTAATTTTATTATTATCAAATATTTTATTGTTGGAGTTAATAGATAATCTACCTTGGACTGATTTATGCAAATTATCTAGAAATGTTATTGTTTGGTTGTTTACCCAGATTTTGCATGTGTGACATAGCTGTGGTTATATGGATCTTTACTATATGGTTTGTAATAAGCAGTATTAAAGTCCAAGGTCAAATCAAGAAAGTTGATCACTTTAGCAATGGTGCTAGTGGCAATATTGAGCTTGTGATCTTTGAAAAATTGTATAAGTTCCTTTCCCAATCAGTTTATATTTCTTGGACTTATTTTAATGTATGAAAATTATGCCATCATCTCTATAGAGTCCAGTGTCTTTAATATCAAAAATAAATCTTAGTCACCACATTAACAAGATTCCAACAATTTCACATGCCTCCACAAAATCATATGCTCCCATAGCAATGTTAATGTGTATGCATGTGCCATGTATGCATGTGTACACATGCATGCCGTGCATGTATGTGCACATGTGCATTTCATGCATGTGTGTGCACACATGTATGTTGTGTATGCATGTGCACACATGTATCTATGTATGTTGTGCATGTGTGTACACATGTATGTTCCCATGTTTCAAGCTCCTGGGTAAGTCTCCACGGAGGAGGCATGTTTTTGCACATTGACTGCAAAATAATGTTCAACAGCTTCCAGTTTTTGTGAAGCGACTCCTTCATGTATATTTGTTCATTTTTTTTTTTTTTTTTTTTTTTTCTGGCTCATTTCTATAATGTAGGTTTTCCAGAGAGGTGTTCTACTTCCATGTCACCATGTTAGTTGCTTCTGTTTCTCACGGTTTCTGTCTTAATATTGAGATGAAGTTCCTTTTTAATTCAGACACTCCTTATATCATTTTAGTCGGGCCCCACTTCTCTATCAATAATGGTCTTTCATTCTTGCTATCTGTTCAGTCTATCACAGTTAAGTCTTTGGTGCATAACTTAAATAATTGAGACCCTGGCTGACTCTGGAAGTTAATGATATTATGTTTCTAGTGCAGTTTTAGAATGGTCAGCTGGTTTCATATATAAAGAAAACTTCCCAGTTTAAAGGGGTCAGTATGATTCTCCTTCTGTTCCTTGACCCACACTCCTTGTAGTGAAGCTCTTAATTACATGAAATCCTCAGAGAAAACTGACAAGTCCTTTGGCTTTTTATAAATTACTGGGCAAAAGTACTTTTTTAAAAATTATTTTTCATCAAGTATGATCACTAAAACACAAGCGGAGAAAATAAAACCTGAAAATGTTAGAGAGGAGAAAAATGGAAGATGTCTAGTGATGTTACACTTGAACTTTTAAAGATCGTAGTTGACAGGGAAGCCAGAAGAAAGTTCTGCAGGCTAGTGGTATGAATGAAGAAACTATCAGAATAGAACTTACAGTTGCATCTGACTATGTTATGGCAGTGGGAAATTGACTGAAGCCAAGATGCCAGGTCAGAACTGACAACATTGCAGATTCTTCTCTGGATTTTGGATTTTAGTAAATTAGAAGAAATGTTTATCTTAAAGAGTTTTTGTTTTCATTTTTAGTCGGATGTGTTTAGTCATGTTTATACTGTTACAAAATAAAATCAATCAGAGGATGACATTCATTGGCTAAGAAAAATTTTCCTTTTGTCTTTATTCATATTGTCTTTTTACAGATATATTTTTAGCAAAATCTGAATTTTGACATGCGCACACATGTGCATATATATATATATATATATATATATATATGCGTGAACATTGAAGTCAACACTCAGAGGTGACAGACTGTTTCATGCTCAATAACAATCATCAGGCCACATGTGTTATGTGTTTTTCTTGACTATATATACAGGCCGTCAGTGCATCGTTTGTAGTCTATTCTAATGGTTAGTTTGGCACGCGGGGTTTGTTAATTTGTTTATTATTTACTTTATTTAGATTAATTTATTTTACTTGTTTTGGCTTATTTATTTTATTTATTATTTACAGTTTTAGATTTTTAAGTAATGTAGTAAAAATTTGTTTTCGTGTCTGTATTTTGAGTTCTGATCATTTATTTTGTAGTTTGTTTTGGTAATTATAGCTATTTTTCCTCCAAGCAGAGTTTGCAATTTTGGGATTGATGATGTTCTTTTCCTTATTTTCAGTGTGATTTGAGTTTTGTTTTTAATTTCTCAGATATACTTGTGTTGTTCGTGTATTTATTATTTGTGATATTTTGTGTGTATAGTTTCTTTTACATATGCTCTATCTCTGATATTGAGCACTTCATCTCATAAATATAGCATACCTTAAAACTACATTTCTTCATTTTATGCACATATATATATATATATATATATATATATATATATATATATGTGTGTGGACTGATGATTGCATTTAACATGAAACAGACTGTCGCCTCTGGATGTTAACTTCAATGTCCACTTTTATATTTACATAGGCTCTATCTCTGATATTGACCACTTTAACACATAAATATAGCATACCTTAAAACTATATTTTCTCATCTTCACCTCTCTTCTTTGCTAGCATCATTTTGTTTCTTTCTCACTTTTCCTTGTCTCTCATTTTCTTTCTCTTTTTTTCCTTTTCTCTCGCTTTCTCTCTTTCTCTCTCCTTTTCCCCCTATTTCCCTCTCTTTCTCTCTCTCTCTTTTCTTGTTTTCTCTCTTTTCAAAACTCCCCCTGTTGTACCCCATCACTATCACAAATAAAAGAAAAATATTTCTTCAGAGTCTCATGCTGGAAAATATATTCCTCATCAAAGACAGAATCTATGGCCCAAAATCCATTTACAAAGCCAGAAATGCATAAAAATAACACTACACAGTCCATTTACTAGAGTCAAATTCTCTCATGTATTTTGCTCATTAACCATTGCATACCACCCATCACTCTTTCTCGTAAATATAACTGAAACCTTTGTTAATGATATTTATGAGTGCCGGCTTCATTTGGTAAAAGACCAAAAATATGGAACCCCCAATAAGAATCAAACTTATTTTTCTCATAATAGTCTGCAAGGATGAGTATAATAACTATTACTCTATGGCATGGTACCTTTTCAATATTGTTACAAGACAGAAAATGTATTTGTACTACATGAATTATTTATGTGGTACAAATTCATTTTCTGTCTTGTTATTGATTTGCTAAAGTATTTCCTCACATATGAAGAAGAGACTTGAAGCAAAAGAATATCATTGACAGAATATGTGAGCAATGAGGAAGTCTTAAGAGAAATAGGAACAAAGGGTGAATGATTTTTGATTCATAATGAGAAAAGTACTTGGCTGGTAACCAGTCTAGAAGGAGGACAACTCTGAATTCTAAACCATGGAAAAGGCAACAAGAATCTCTGAGACTCTTCCCAAGAATCCATGACAATTAACAGATAATAAAGAAAAGAAAACTGCTTAGAATATAATGAGAAATCACTCTGCCTTGAAAGGCAACAAGTCTAGAAAATGGTCTATGCTGAATGCAAATCCATGGAGGAGCAATAAAAAAAAATCACTTTGTAACCTTTCCCAAAAAGTCATGGCAATTCATAGATAAAGAAAAAGAAACGGTAGGGAGTCATGATCGCTTACATCCTGAAGAAACATTGCATTTAAAATAAAATTAAAAGGATGTGCAGGTAGCATAACAACTGTCATCATGGAAAGTGGAATTGGTGAGTTAATTTAAAATTCCAACCATGTTCTGTTCACTTTTATTTTAATGCTCTTGGGAAAACCAGGAATCCATTTCTTCTTCCTCACAGCTATGGCTTAAATAGCATCACTGATTGGGCTCTACAGGAGAAGGGCACCTCTGAATTTCAAACTGTGGAAAGGACAAGAGAAAACTATTTTTTCCTCATGAAGTCATGTAAACTCACTGTTTTCCCATGAACCAATGCCCTGTGTAACCAACTGCCAATGGGATATTTCCCCAATCACTATATTTTAACCCATTCAAGGCTAGAGTTAAGCATTATCTTCTACTCCTATACAAATAAATGGCCACCAAATATAACCCTCTACCTTGAATGGCCCCCAGACTTTGTAAAGGGTGAACATCACTGTGAAAAAGAAGAAAAAAAAGAAAGAAACTGTGGAAAGCCATTATCCTTTAGATTCAGAAATGATATGACATTTTTAAAAAATGTAAGATGCAAAAGAGAACCCCACATAAATTTTAGTTTTATCTGTTACATGACTCATATAGATGTTAACAAGCCAACAAATCTGCGCATACCAATAACCATTAAATTAAAATTCTGTCTGTATTGTTTGAAAACACATTTATTTTTCTCAATGTTAATTCTCCATCATTTGTCAAACCAATGCATTTAGGAATTTTCTTAGAACCACTCCTTATGATTTAGCTTCCACCTTCCATTGGAACCGTCGTTGCCAGATGAGAATCCGGAGAATAGACCCACCCAATCCGTTTACCATTGCCAAGAATATTACTCACCCTTTCTCTTGTCTTCATTCTCATTTTTCTGATCCTCACAGCGTTTCTTCAGATCCCGTCCAGCCAAAAGACAACACGCCTTTGGGTCAAGTATTGACTTAAACTCTTCCAGAAATTCATTTATCAAAAGTAATCTATATTATTCCTAAAACCACACACACACACAGAGTAACAAAAGAAGGTTCAGGAATAGTTTTCAACTTGAGACGAGCTTGAGTGAACATCGTCAGCTCAATTCAGTTCAGTCAAGTTCAGCTCAGTCGTTGATTAGTGCTCATTCTCGCAGACCAAGTTTCATTTGTAAAAACTACAATGATTGATGACCCTTCGCTATCAATATCAAATGATCCAACAAACCCAACCCTTAAGCCTCACCCTTCATCCCCATTTTAGAACAAACCACAAACCCAACTCCCAGTCTTGTAGCTTTTAGCATTACCCATCCATCCCACCTGGCAGCCAAAACTGCCCCAGACCTCTACTTTTCTTTCACCCCCTCTTCGTTACTATCAGCTCCGTGACGATCAACTCCTCT